TATATATATGATATAAAGTAAGTCGAGTGTAATCTAGTTGGCGGTATAAAAGTACAATTGTATAACTATTGAACAGGGTAGTATAATCCCCTAATTTGCAAAGTGATTGTGTGTAATTATTACTTGTGATGTTGAAAAAATAAACTTGTTACAGAAATATCTTATTTCTTTGAGAATTTGTGAAATATTTGTCAAAATATGCATCATTTAAATGGTTCAAATACATAAACAAGCAAATGGAATATATCGATGTGAAAAATTGTCATTTAAAATAATCACACAATTAAACCTGGAATGTGTTAGCACTCAAACCGAATCGAACCACTTCCTAATGTGTGCTGGTGCGTCGTTGTTTTATCGTAGCCGGCTTAATCGGTGTTGTTATTAGGTGTTATATTATTGAGAAATGCGGAGGGTTTTGCTTGTGAAACTGAACGATTCGTTTCATGATTCAACATTGACAGCGAATGAGAAATATTGTTTGTTACCAGTTTTTCCAATGAAAAGGAATTTTTTTGTTGTTATGCATTCAAGATGGTTGCAGGTGGCTGTATGGTTGTTTATAAGACGAGTGAGCGTTGAATTTAATGAAATGAACGAACAACATACTTAGTTCGTTGTTTTTAGCAACCCATTTGCTTCATTCGGTTTGTTAATTTATTGTTATCGTCGCTACTGTGTTTATTATCATGCAATATGTTTGCGTATGCAGTGTACATGATGAAATATTCGTCGTCCTATAACAGCAGTTCATCTCAACGTTAGCTCAAGCTCTTTTGCCCTTTCTCAGGCATTTGCTCATTGTTAGAGAAATGAATGAATAGTGATATTGAACGTATTAATGGAATTTTGTGCTGCTGCTGTCCACATAATGCATTCATTCGTTGAATATCTTTTTTGTTTCAATATCGTTCTCGTATTTTTTCGAGCGTAATTCAATCACTTGCAATGTATTGTTTTGGGACTGCTTAAATTCCAGTTCGGGTAGCGATTCCGAGTAGTTTTGCGAGAATGAATTAAGCGCAGATTTTATGTTGTTTGGACAAGTTATATTCCATTCCATTTCGTTTCATTTCCACTCATGTTATGTGTCGCTTACGAAACATCTATCTGTATGGTAATCTACAGAGCACGGGATTGGAGTTGTGGTATTTCGCGAGTGTACAGATCATTTGCTGCTTGCTCAAATCAGAAGAGAGCACTGTGCTTACGGCGACCTCATCGGAGTCCATATTTGGACCGAGACATCAAGCGCCATAGCGTCCCATTCCGTATTCTTTGATATGATTTAATTACATATCCTCAAGCTTTATCCTATTACCTGGATTGGCCAGGCTATCAAACGTTTGTAACATTGCTGGCCACAATGCGTTTCCATTCGGTCCTTGATCTTGCTTTCCTTTGCCAGGTGTTACCCGGTTTCTTTGTAATATCGTCTTTCCATCTTCATCCTATTTATAACATCTTTCCATCTTTATCCTATTATAGCATGTATTTATAACATGTTCTCATTTCCGCATTAAAATTTGCTCATTTATCTACCGTTCTAGTTGCTCATTTATCTATTTCTCCTTTACACAACATTTATCTTTGTAGTGCCTTTCAAGTTAGTAGATTAGAGATTATTTTCGCGGTTTTGCGAATTCCGAAAAAAAATTTCAAGAGTAAACGATAATTTTTCATCATTGCATTCATTTGAGAGCACATAAACAAATCAACGAACGCGAACACTCTTTGATATTTTATGTTTTGGAACTGAAATATATTATCAAACTTTCAGCTGCTTTCCTATAGTCGCACTGAATGGCTAATGCCATCACTTAAATCAGTTCATTCTCACTTCATTCCATTTCCATTTAGGTTCTTCTAATTCAGTTTTTCTCAGCCTGGTTCTTCCAAGCAATATCTCTCTTAATCCAGAAAATCCCACTCGTAACAGCTGCGTTTAATATCTAACTAAGTGCATGTTCTTTGAAAGTTTTCGCGTATTCGTTGTCAGCTCCTCTTCTATAGTATAACTGTGTGATAATTATGTCGAATTTCGCATTGAGGGATTTCAAATAAATTTCAATTTGTCGTTACCTTTTCCTATTAAGTTCCATTGAAATTGTAAGATTTTTGTTTTTTTACCGTTTTTTCGCGATGATCGCTCGCAATCGAAGCAGTAGATATTGAGAAAAAGAGAGATTGTGCAGTAGGCAAGAGCGTACTCGTATTATTAGCCAATGCTTCTAATGTCAGTGTTCAGTTTGCACAGCTGAATGGAGATTTTTTGTGATTGTGAGAACAACTGTTAGTCAATCGTTCTTTTCGCTGACGATGACTGATGACGGTGAGCGTTCCGGTCAATTCATATTCATCGTGTATTGTTATCGTGTATTCAACTGAATACCACTAATCGGCGACAATTGTTTTTTGGTGTTTCGGTGACCTATTATCACGTTTGCTTCTTTTTTTGATCACAAATATTCATTCACTGGTTTTGTAGAGAGAACGTTTTTGAAATTCTTTTATTGGTGATGATTTCAAACTTTCATGACTCTGAATGTAAAAGGTGTACAAATGTACTTAACTAGCACATTTTTGTCTAGACTCTTCATTTTTTTCGTTTCTGTTGCTTAATTGTTATAGCAGATCTTCTGATGCGATACTTTTTTGATTTGTCTGCTGTTCATTGCAGGAATTTGCGTCTGAATTTTTTTTTGTTGTTGGCACCATGAGGAAATTGCTTTCATATTTTGAGATCGACGTGTGACCTAGAGCGATGATGTTTCTTATTGATGTGTACAAAAAGATTCGAGTTTGCGTTTAGTGATTCTGTGTTATGTGGCATTTGAGCTGCATGTTCACACTCTTTTATGCTGAATTGTTGTTGTGGAATAGCTGAATCATAGTGGTGCTTCGTGCAAGATACTCAGTGGTGCCGTCTCTAGACAACCGTTTCCGTAGTTGAATGAATTTGCGAAGAAATCGAAATCAATACTCACGTTCATATGCCAATAGAGAGTCGCTGAACCGAGAAAGTGCTCTTTCTTATATTTGATTCTTAACGATGAATTGAGCGCGTTGTTCGAGTGAAAACGGCTGGCTATTGCCGGTGTGGAGCGTGTGAAAGTCTTTGAATTCAAGAGGATTTCAGTGGAAATATCGTATCAGCAGTGTTTACTCGAACGATCTGAAATGAGCCTTCTTCTGCCCCGCAGCACACGATTGCGTTTTTTGACATCCGAACGAACCATTTCTGCGAATAAATGGCCGTTAGCTTTTTCAGGATTTGAGATTGTTCTTATGGAGACAATCGCACCCAATACAAAACTTTATTTTTTATTTACAGTTAGATTAATTGAAGTACTTTAGATGAACTCATTTTAATTAAGTCTTTACTTATTTAGATTAAGTCTCAATTTATTTATGTTAGATTGTGAGTCTTTCAGTTTGACATTGTATCATTTTGGAATCGCTGCATTCATGAAACCGAAAAAAGCAATCGCAATTGCGTTCGCATGTTCAATCGATTCAATTGAATAACGACGAATTGTTGAATGCGATTTGGAATGTTCAGATGAAATTGAATTATTGGGTTAAGTATGCTCTCAATCATATTATGGTTGCTACTCAGTAACGACCAAACTACTCTACTCAGTTGCTAATCAACGACCAAACGAAACTTTCACCCTCTCCAAAACATCATCACGTTAAGATTGTTGTCTCCAGTCGATCGCTACTGCATGCAGTTAGTATGTTGTCTCGGAATCTAAATTTTTCAGTTCTGTTTCAATTTCTTTATTAATCGATTTCGTCACTTCAGTCACTGACAGCGAAAGACTGTTGGAGCATTCGTTTAGTTTGCCTGTTGAAACACAAAAACATTTTTCTCATTTGGAAAACATTTCTCCCATTTGCTGAAAATTCTCCCATTTCATGAAAAGAGATTGTCTCGCTTTGTCGCCCACTCTGCCTCCATTTATAAGTGATCGTGAGTTAAGTCAAATTGACTTCGGCCAGGATTTTGAAGAAAATTTTTGATGTGATTGCATTATGTGTGAACGTTTGTCTCGTCTCATTGTGATCATAACGGTCTCAGCATCGAACTGGGAATTGGTAAATTGCTGGTTTGAATCCTGTTCGCGAAGTGTCGAATGCTGGAAACATTTCGGGTTTAACAGAAATTCGTGAAGCACGCATCCGTTGCGTCAAACTTAACAATTTGAAAAATTTTTCCGAGTGTTGTTTTAATGCTTTCGGCTGGTGAGCCAGACGAATTCTCTTCCATCAACCTTCGTCATGAAACGTCATTTTAGATTTGCGCACGATGTTTTAAGATCTTTTTCTTTTGAATAGACGTTCAAATGAATGTAGAGTCTTCCACAATAAGGTTTCGAGATAAACCTAGTTAGAACTGAGTTGGCTTGTCTCCTAAATCACGTATAATTTAGAATTTTGTGACATTATACGATAGAATATCGATATCTTCTGCGATATGAAATATCACATCTCAGGAGAGATATTGAGTCGTTTCATTAGGTCATAGATAATTTTTTCATTGGAAATGTGTCAGTTTGCTTGCAACACCCTTTTATCGTGATATCTTTTTATTTTATTTTTATTCGTGATCCGAAAATTTCACCTTTTTCTTCAATTGTTCCCTTCGTAAGCCTACAGGGAGTTTGAATTGGAATAAAACAGCGGATATGTATGCACTCATAAAATGTCACTCATTTCGCTTGTATTTGTTGATGTCGAAGATATGATGTGTTGAATTTTTCTCTGCAAAAAATAATCACTCATTTTTGATGGCAAAAATCAGTCTGTGAAAAGCGTCGAGCCAAAAAAGTTCTTTCTACATTTCAATTTATATGGAAACATTGACGTCAGCAGTATATTTGAAGTGAATACGTCACTTTGGTTTATCAAACTTTTCGAAAAATTCATGACGTCTTAAGAAATTATTACTTTTTATTAGAAAGTATTAGCTAAGAAATTTCTAATTCTTAAGAATTTATTAGTTTGTGGAAACATTTTTCATTTCAAGTAATTAATGGTTTGTTTGGTTTTAATATTATCACAATGTAAGGTTCTAAAAGCATCTTATCATGTTTATCTTCCAGTGTTAGAGCTATGATAATATTTTTTAAGTCTTCAGAACTACGATTGATTTATTGCTTGCTGCATAGTTAGTGTTAAGTGTATTTCATAATGAATTATAGGGCAGTGTTGAGGGCAAAGTTCGCTTATATATTATATTTCTGATTTTTTTCAAATTTTTTCTTTCACTGAATTTTAGTTTGTTGTTTGATTGATGATTTTGTTGCAAATGCTGAAAATTTTTGCAGTTTTTGCTGAAGTACTAACTGGTTTTCTCAATTGCTGCAATAAGCCAGTTTCGCGGTCTCTCGATTACTGTCAAATATTTCCTTCTTTTGTGACATTCATTGAGGCGATTTGGTACCATTGAATGATTATTGTTATAAGGACAGACAGTTGGTGGCCATATGTTGTCGTTTGATCGCATCTGGTGGTTGATGTTCGATCGTTTATCAAACTATGAGCTATAGTTTGATTAACAGCCAGCCAAACTTGACTCTTATAAATCTTGAATCCTAATGCGTGAACCTGAGTATAAGTTTACCTCACCCAGCCCGAATTTATTCTGTCTAGCAGGAATTTACCCTACCCAGCTGGATTTTACCCTACCCAACCGGGACTTACCCTACCCAGCCGGAAAGTTTGTGATCAAACCTGATCGAGTGATTGAAAAGCATCCAGCGCGATTTGGAAGTCATACCATAGAGAATGATTGCTATCGTAGTTTGTCGTATGCTTGATGAATCGTTACGATCGATTGCTTTTGATGAAATGATGCATTGATTCATTCAAGAAGTATGGCTGAACCGAGACGGGTTACTGAAACGTTGTGGTATGAGAAGGTACGTGGTTTCGCGCTATGCATCCTAGCTTTACTATCCGCCTTGTTCGGATCGTTCTATATTCTGATGCCTACTCTACTGATTCTTTTCTTCGATCATCACAAATGGAGGAATATTATCGATCGATTGGTTGGGTATTGGCTGATGTTACCGTCGGTAAGGCTTGATTATTATCGTTATTATATTATTATCGTTATCAGTATTGATATGATCAGTATCATTGTTATTTTAATGGCTGTTGTTGATCCGATTATGACGATGTTATAATTATAGCATCGACAATGATTCCTCGGTCAATATTGCTTTTATTTTCTTCATTTTTATCGTCTCGTTCAAATCTCTCCAAACAAATCGCTAGGTATTTCAAGAGTATTTGCAAGTGATATTAGCAAATCCAAATGAATCCAAATAGTTGGATTTGTTTGAAAATACCACTCAATGACATCAATTTCTCAGGCACTGATAGAATTTTTCTTTGGAACGAAATTCCGAGTGACCGGTACTAAGATTGACCATAGCGAACCAGCGCTGATCATAATGAATCACCGAACTTGTCTGGATTGGCTATTCTTCTGGAATCTGCTCTTACGCATGGATCCTTGGTTGCTATCGTCGTTGAAAATTTCGCTCAAGGTTCTGCTACAACCTTTAACTGTTAATTGCCGACTGTTCCAGTACGATACGTCTGGATTATATTAAGATATCAAAATGAGGAGAACTGTAATAAGCTTGATGAAGGAATGATAATTGAATAGTTCGTAGTGTTACAATGCTACGACATTAATATTAAAGCTCTGAAAAATATAGACATCAGATAGAACGCTTTCATTATTGCGGAAATTTTTAATTATCGTAATTTACTGACTGAGCCTTCATCGCGAGTGATTCATACAAACGTATAATGTAAATGGATAGTTAATGAAAAGAATACGGAAAATTTAACCGGCTCAATCAGCTTCATTCTGGAATCGTTCGAAACATTGTTTGTTTTAGCAAACAATGATTTCTGTGTCAGAAAATAACTGAAATCATTCACAATTCTCTGATTTTCCATTCAGCTTACTATTAGTCAAAATGTAAATTGAAAAAATTAATGATGTTAATAAATAAACTGAATATAAAAGAATTACTTCGAGCAATGGTTTTTAAAGATCAGTTGCTTTTTTGCAATTGCCATGTAGGTAAGTTAATCGATAACGAGAGTGAATCAGACCGATCTGGTCGAGTTCTATCGACTTTATGTCTCATAATATCGATTTTCCAAAATATGGCATTGCCATCGATCGCCGTTACTGCTGCCTCATTTTATGAATCCTTAAAGAGTATTCTAAAGTATCTGCCGGGCGCAGGTTGGGCGATGAGCTGTAATGCTTACATATTCCTGAAGCGATCCTTTGACAACGATTCCGAGCGTATCGCCTCTATGCTCGACTACTACGCTAACTCTGGTTACAATTATCAGGTACGATTGATTCTGTTTATTAATCTGATCAGTGTCCTACACGGGTATCTCACGATCCCTGATGGTATTGGTCCGATGTGCAAAAAACATTGGAATTGAGAAATTTTGATTATGCTAGCGATTTTTCCATAGCGACATGAAAGCCCTCATTAATGAAGAAGTACTAGGTTGTACGAGTTTAATGTCAATGCAAGAAACGCATTGTAAAGATTTTAACTCACTGCAGCGATTAATAACTAGCGTACAAGTTTACAACTGGGGGTGTAATACGGGAATCAGTTCGATCTGTCAGAATGTTCTTTGATGAATCAAGACACCGTTAATGCTTCGATAATGTTAATGCATTCATAAAAAATGGTTCATCAAAATGTTTCATTCGAATTTCAAATTTGGTGTGAAATCTGCCAACAAAGTGATTCGAAATAAGCCTAATCGAAAGAGCCTTTCAGTTGCTGTTATTCCCAGAAGGTACGGATAAATGCGAAAAAGCCACTGAGAAGAGTCGAATTTATTCGGCGAAAAAAGGACTCACCCATTACGCACATGTCCTCCATCCGAAAACAACCGGTTTCACGTTCATTGTGCAAAAAATGAGAGAAGGTAAGCGAAATTTTAAAGCGATTTCACTGGAAGCTATTCAACAATTCTGTTTGTGTCATATCTGTTTTACTCGAAAATCCTAGCTTATTTATTCAAATATCATTGTAAATTATAACACATATTGTTGATTTTTCTCTGCCAAGGGTAAGCTGTAATCTGATTGTGAGCAATTTCGTTCAAGAACCTTATCAATGCTGATAACACAGTCATGATGACGGTGAAAATTTTGTGATCAATCAAAATGTTCTGAAGCAATGTTGATAAATATTATTATTATATTAGTGATAATGTCAGTAGCGGAAATCGTATCATTTTCATACGCTCATTTTACAGCAGCACCAAATTCATAATCCCAATTTCAATATCTTCAAATTTCCTTGACGATCAGCCGACAGACAGATTAACACGGTTGTTAAATTTAAACAAATGACATGAGATCATCATAACTCACTGATGCTATGAATATGATGAAGTTTGTGTAATTATCGCTATATTTTGTTAATACTTTATCGATGATTGATGAGGTTTTCTTAAATTTGACACAGTTTAAACTGATATTTAATATCATTCATTTGCAAATTCTGCATTAAATTTGCAAAAATTTAACATCGCATTATTCACCCATAAATAATAATATAATAGTAATAATATCCAGTCATAAGTAACCAACAAAGAGTATATGAACATTGCATTTGTATAGTATCTGATAGCAATGATAGCAGTGAATATGGCAGAAGCACTGCTAAAGATACAATTAACGATGATAATGATAGCCATAATAAGCCCGCACATATGTAATGTAATGAAACTAACGTTATTGCCATCAAATTGTTCTAGCAATCAGTATATAATGATCGAATTCTTTTTGTTATTATTATCAATTCGTTATCATTCTGTCATTATTGTTATCATAATGATTATTATTTGAGTTGTTATCAAATTCATGGATAATATCATCGCTATTATGATGCATTTCTGCGTGTAGTGTTCCGATGCCGAATATATGCTCATTTCAGTCGGCTATATCAAGCATGTCTACGACGTGACAATAGCATTCGCAGATTCAATCGTACAGTCCGAGTTGGATTTGCTGATTTTGGGTGCATGTCCACGAAGTGTTCATTTCGATGTGAGAAAACTGGATATCGACTCGCTGCCAGCAAGTGATGAGGACTTGAATAAGTGGTTAATTGATTTGTGGAAGAAGAAAGAAGATCGCCTCGAGAGATTCTATGCAGAGGAACGAATCTCAGAGCGTAAACTTGACACCGAGCCTGGAGCCGAAGTTTTTGAGGTATTTATTCAACTGGGATAATTCCAATGGTTGGGTTTCTAAGGGATATTTGGGGTAGCGAGTCCTCTTAAGAGGTTTCCCCAGATGGTTTATTATCCTGTGGTATTCACTTATTTTTAGATGTTAATTTAGAATTTAATCAACTCAATTGGAAGTTATGCTGAAAATTGGTTATGAATTAATTAAAGTGATTAGTATCATTGATCATATTTACTGATCTCGACAGTTGTTCGTAATACTTGCATAATTAGATTTTCACTTAGCTCGGTGTAGTTCGCAGTCTTACACTATTAACCTATGACGTCAAAATGGTTTGAAGTTTAAAGCTTTTGGATTTTTTTTTCGTGAAAGATGCAAAATGAGGAGATAATGTCAGATCTTGTCATAAGACAATTAATGAAAGTAATTTAAGTCAAGTTTTTTGAACTTTTTACCCAGGTTAAAGAAATTTAACAATGATGAGTTGTTGTCATTTAAGCTGAGCGATTACACACTGGCAATCCAACGTAAAGTGGCGGCGTTTTGGATTTTCATCACTTGTATTTGGCTGTACATTTTCTTCACGTATCACTTCCAGTACACAATAGCTTTCGTCACTTTTGTGGTCTTTATTGGAGCACAATACAAATTCGGTGGTATTGACTGGTTAGCCGTGAAAATTGCTCAATCAAGGCGACGAAAACAAACATGAAACTTGAAAAAAAGTAAGTAAATCATAATTGTATTGAATTGATCACGCGGATCTATTGCATCAAATGGAAATAACCAGAGATTTTTATACTGACCGTATAATTTTGCTTCTGAATGTAGCTTTTAAACGAATCTCAACAGAAAATGTCTAAAATAATGTTGAATTATTTCAGTTATAAACTTATCGTGTATTTCAGAAGAACATATTGGAGTATGAGAACACACCTGGAATTTGATCGAATTGAGTAACCCCAAAACCAAAAAGTATTCATCCATCATTATTATTGCTTAACTGTGAATAAACTGTTTGCGAAGAGGGTTTTTTTGCCAAACTGTATTAAAAAATCCATTTTTACAATAAATTACATGTTTCGGAACGACATACTTCGATGATCAGTAAAGGGATTGATGATGGCCAGAATATGGATTATGTTAAGAAAGCAAATTATGTATGAGTCATCATAGCTGTGGTATATTCATTACGAGGAATCTTAGTTCTGTGATTGCCATTGCTATGTTCTTCATTCTGTCCTTATTAGTATTAGTATTATTGTTGTTATTATTGCTTTCATTATTACTGTTTTTTTGTGTCGATATTGTAAAATATTTATATTATAGATGATTCGCAGTTGGCCGTCATCAGTTGGCGTTTAATGCCGTTAATTATATTTAATCGAATTATAGTAATTTGTGTGTTATTGATCTAGTGAATTAATTGCTAAATGAATTAATTCATTTGTAAATGTATCTCGTATAACTAACTGCCTTAACGTTGCTTTCGATTGTAGAGAATTTTGTTTACTTTGGTTCAATACAATGTCAGAAAGTTCAGAAAATCTTCACTGCAAACGAAGAAACTTTCGTTAGATCAATGTTTTCCATAATTGTTGCACTTATTGTCAAGTTGTGACTTCTGAAGTGATTAGTGAATCGTGTTAATATCTTTGTTTTATCTTATCTTGTTGTCTTTGCTATATCTTATTGTGATCAAAAATGATCAAAATCTTATCTTAAGCGATGTTATACGCCGTCTATCATTTTCAGACGTTCTGACAGTTTCATTCCATCTGTCACATGTTTCATTCATAAGTGCGTTCGACCAATTGCCAGATTTCATCAGTTCAACGGAGAGTCTGAAATTCGTGTTCTGTTGAGGCGATTTGATAACTTTCCATCCACAACTTCAAATCCACCAGATGATGAAATTTTGCAGCATTCTCTTTTTTTTCCGTAATAATAATCAGAGAAGATGAAAAGTAGAATTTAGAAATGCCTTGTGAAGTAGCCATAGCCAAGCTTCACCATCGAATTTCTGCTGTCGATCAAATTGGAATTAAAATGTTCATTGAAAATGGAATGATTAATGCTGCAAATAAGAGGATGAATACTTCATCATTGACCGCTATCATCTCGCTCTTGTCCACGGCATATATCCTATCCTTGATTCTTACCGAATATTTTCGAATGATCTCGCGTCTACTGTCAATTATTTTATCGAATGTTCAACGCACTCTCAATGTTAACTTCTCATTTTTCATTGATTGTATCCTTGTTGTGCGTTCGTCAGACTTATATTCTTCTTTGCTATGTGTGCTTCATTTATTGAGTATTGTTCAGTCACCATCTTCCAGACTGCATCATCAAACTCATTTGGTCAGATCAAAATATTGTAAATCATTTCAATGTATTAATTGCTGCAGATTCCGCGTTTGCGGAGAGTGTTACTTAAACGATTCAATATGTATTGTTTTTTGTTGTTGTTGTTGTTGTTGTCAATTGTTTCTTGTTGAATACTCAATAAAGTTTTCATGTTCGATACTCAAGGTTTCAAGGTAATGATAATATCAGTGATAATTATGATAAATACTTTTTGCAAGAACCTTGTTCAAGAGAATGTGATATTGCCGGAATGGCATCTGCACATGGAATGTGATGTCTGCCATTGACGATGATTGCAGCAGAGATAATGTCTGTCACATTTGGTTGAGGCTAATTCAACTTGATGAGAAAACGATTCAATGAATGATCTTGCAAATATTTGGTATTTAGCTAAGAGTAAGGGTAGCTGTTTAATGAATAGATA